GAAGAAGTTTGCAGAAGAAGTTTGCTCAGTCAATTGCTCAAATGCCTGAAAATCAGTTGTACTAGGCCAAAAGTCAACTAAGGCCCACATACAGTCAAACTTCAAGATTTTTGGTTAACATCCTCATTTTGAAGTATTATTCATAATTTGATCAAGGGTTGATCATGATTCCTCAAGGATTGCTCACAATTCATCAAAATCCAAAAGTTGTTAAATTAGGGTTTTACAAGAAAAGTCAACTCAACTTTGACCAAGCATAACTTTCTCATACTTTATTATAAATGACCCATCCAAAGCTCATTTTGAAGAGGATGAAATTCCCTACCATTCATCTTCAGCTCCCAAGTTCAGAATATGCACTCACAAAAAGATATGAATTTTGACATTATAGGTCCTTTTAAAAAGCCAACAAAAACACCTTTTGGGTCAAAGCTTCATGCATGAACATGGAAGATTCAATTGAGATGAGACAAAAATGGTTGCTTATAGGACATCCTAATATTTCTAAAAAGTCCAACAACACCTCTCTAGGGTCAAAATTAAGAAAGTTATGCATTGGCCAAGTTGACCATTTTTGCAAAATTGCCAAAAGTCAAATGTGCTCAAATTTGCATTTTTTGCTAAATGGCCCCAACTTTTTATGTTTGCACCTCAATTATAATGTGGTCCACGACTCAAATACTTATCCACAAATTATTTGCTTCATTTTTCAATTTATTTTGATTTTTCATTAATTAAAAAGTGAATTAAATTAAATAAATGATGAAAATTATCAAATATATGATTTGATTTGTTTTTTTGATAGGTTAGCAACCAAGATATGTTGAGCTTGCCAGATCAATTCGAATCAATGGCAATTGGTACAAAAATAGCATGATTGGAATGAAAATAGAAAGATATCATATGGCTAAAGAATCAAATCAAATATCATCAAAGCTTAAAGATTCAATATGTTTTGCAACCCTAATTCATTGAGGGATATATAATGAACAAGAACAAAGCAAAAAAGGGGGGTTAGAGGTCGTGAATTGCCAGGAAGAAAACTGGAAAATTCAAGAAAAAATGGGAATCGGTTTTCAATCTACAAGGCGTTTCAAAGCATTCCAAGATCACCAATCCCTTCCTATACTTCCCAAGAAGCTGTTCCAATCATTCCCAGGGCCTGAAGCACTTAGAAACTCATTCTACAACTCACACGGTTTGGTACATTTTTCAAATTCGATTTTTGCAATTTATGCATCATTAGCACATTTGATTTATATATTCTTGTTCATCATCATGTTTGCAAGTTATTGGTATTACTTAATTGCATTTTCAGTGCAGGAATCATGATATGCCATTGTTAGGGTTCCTTTGCTCGTTTTAGGGGTTTTCAGTATATGCAAAATTAGACTTTGATTCTGGTACCATGATGCTCGTGGGGATGAGACGAGTTGATTGGTACCAGCACTTGTCATTTATCTTGCTTGTATACAATTTTTAAGATGAACAGGTCTGTACCTACAACAAAGCGTCCATAGGTAAAAGCTTGGTTTTCTAAAACGACGGGCCAGTGAGGGAGACGATGGTGTGGCAGCGTGGGACTGGCCCGTTTGAAATTTTGCGCGTTTGGCTGACCCATTAGCTTGTTTTGAATATTATATTTTATTATCATCATATTTACAAATAACCATCATGGCTCAGTTGGCAAGCAAGCGCTGGAATTGGGTATAAGGGATTGGGTTTGATCCCCAGGTCCCAACCTTTGTTTGTATTATTTTGCTTCATGTGATCAGGTACACTACAATCTCAAGCGCCTACCATATGCCATCAAATTCAACCATCAGATTCATCAGCAAGCTAGATCTAACGTGCCAGCATTGAAGGACCATGATATGCACTAAAGTCAACACCTCACCAAACCAAGCGTGGTCAAACAGGATGGTGTTATTTGGGCCACAAAAATCAGATCTGCACCCCCCATAATTGCTAACAATCAGACCCATCTCTAACTTGTTTTTATTTCTTTTCTTTAATTCTTTTAATATTTCTTTTAATCATTTTAATTAATAAACTAATCATTTTTTTATAAAATCATAAAATCAAGACTTCATAAAAAAATCAGAAATAGTTTTTTTTATTATCAAATTTAATTTAATTTAATTTAACTTAGGGCAATTTTAACTTGTTTTTATAAATAAAATCAAATAGAAATTAGGTTAAATTCTTGATTTAATTCTTTTATTTTTTCTCAAATAAATAAAATATAAAAATAGGTTTATAGAGTGAATTAATTTATTTTTCTTAATTTAAAATTAATTAGAACTTAGGATTTTCTTTTTAATTTAATTGCTTCATTATTTTCTTAAATAACAAAACATGACAAAAACATCTTTTTTTAAATCAATCGCAAATAGGTTTAGATTAGGGTCAAAACCCTAATCGCTTCTCATGTAATTCGCCGCGCGTTTGTAATTTATTTTTGCTAATATTTTATAACTGCTCATGGTTTGTAATAGTTAATTTAGGGTTTATTTTACTGTTAAATCCCTAGTTTTTTTTTGGCTATATAATTAATCCCCCTCCCTGAAGCCTTGTAATAGCGTAGATTTATTTTCTCGCATTTTCAATTCCCGCAAATACTTAACTGTCTAGATGTATGCTAATAGGATTGTATGGCAAGAATGCATGACAAATTAATACAGTTAGAAAACCCTAATGTGCAAAGATAAATAACTGAAACCAATCACTCGCACATATCACTCTTAGGGTATACTCTCACTTCGGTTGCCTTCGGTAAACGATCATTAAGCATAGGGTGTCTTAGTGGTTTCCCTCCAGTCTAAAAAGATCAAAATGTCCCATTCGAATGTTGCCTCGGAAATGTTGCCTCGAATAAAATCTTAAGAATCCAGGGTTACTACTAAGGTGTCCTAATATTTTTTTAGTGATCGTACGTCCCTTTAGAATAGGCCCTTACAAATTCCCACGACGGTGCTACCTATTTCTCAATAGTGGGATAACACTGTCTAAGGGAAACGAGAATAGAAACAATCTTTTTTCGAGTAGGTAGATGCCAGTAGGTACTTGCTCAAATCCAAACTTTTCACACTTACACATTTCAAACAATTTTTCAAAACAACTATGTCACACCTTTGAGGACTTATACAAGGGTTATCACGAAGTAAAACATTCTTCAAAACAAAGCACATACACAAGCAATTTAAAAATGAGCAAGTACCTAAGAGCCCATGGAAAACCATGGATAGAAAGGGTGCTAACACCTTCCCTTTCTATAATCTACCCCCCGTACTCAGAATATCTCGAAAAAAAGGTTTTTTCTGTTCTTTTTCCTTTTCCATGATTGGATGAAATAAAAGTTGGTGGCGACTCTTGCTTACCGCGATATTTTGCAAACACAAAACGCAAAACGCAAACCAGTATTAAACAGTCGGTTCTGCCACCGTATCAGAGGATCTCAACTAGCAAGCATCTCAACCAACTAGCTTCTTCACTAGTTGTGACTAATGCCATCATCTCAAATTCAATTGTGGACAGAGCTAGGATAGTTTGTTTCTTTGATTTCCAAGATACAGCTCCTCCAGCTATACTAGATATATAGTCACTAGTAGCTTTGCAATCATCTGATAAAGTATTCCAATCTGCATCATTGTACCCTTCTAGTACAGCAGGAAACTTCTGATAATGTAGGCCAAGACCCATGGTCCTTTTGAGGCACTTCATGACTCGCTCAATAGCTTGTCGATACTCTTTACTTGACCTACTCATAAACCTGCATAACAATCCTTTGACATATGCATTTTCGGGTCTAGTACAATCAGTGCCATACCTAAAACTGCCAATGATGCTCGCATATTCTAATTTCCTGACACTTTCTCCAGTGTTCTTAAACAATTTCACACTTGGATCATATGGTGTGCACGCAGGTTTACAGTCAAAGTATTTATATTTTTTTAAGATCTTCTCCATATAGTGTGATTGATCCAAAGAAATTCCTTGTTCGGATCTCGTGATCTTGATACCAAGGATCACACTTGCTTCTCTGAGGTCTTTCATATCAAAGTTGTTGCACAACAGAAATTTCACATCATTAATGGTCTGAATGTTTGATCCAAATATGAGTAGATCGTCTACATAGAGACATATGATAGTGCATATGCGATTCTCATATTTATAGTAAAAGCATTTGTCATTTTCATTCACTTTGTACCCATTTGATATCATTAAGTTATCAAACTTTTCATACCATTACTTAAGAGCTTGTTTTAGTCCATGCAAAGACTTGTCTAACTGTCAGACCTTGTTTTCTTGTCCATAGATCACAAATCCTTCCGGTTGTTTCATATATATTTCTTCTTCTAAGTCATCATTTAAAAAAGTTGTTTTAACATCCATTTGGTGTACTATTAAGTTATAAATAACATCTATTGAAATAAGTATCCTAATGAATGTAATTCTAGTGATAGGAGAAAATGTGTCGAAGAAATCTATATTTTCTCTGTCTAAAATCCTTGACAACAAAGCGGATTTTGTATTTATCAATAGTTCCATCGGGTTTTAGTTTCTTTTTCAAAACTTATTTTTTATTAGTATTTTGGAGATTGTTTAAAAGCTAGATAGAAAAAGATTAAAAATGACTTATATGACAAAAACCACTGCTCTTTTTGTCCCTCTTAAAAGCCAACACCTTTTTTACAAAGATACTATCAAACAAATCATAAGCCATTTAATTTGACTTTTACATCTACAACGTGGTAGCCACTTTCATCATTTGCCTCTTCATTAAGAATAAGACATAATACCTTTTCTTATGCTTATTAGGCCATCTCAAAATTCTATGTCCATTCATTCTTGCTTCTTCCTCTTTTTCTACTTCCTTTTGCCTTCATCTCTTCCTCCATAATCTTATTCTTCTTAGTTCAAACATATGATATTACACATGTAAAGGTTAATCTTCTGAGTCGTTCGTGTATACTTTTCAATTTTCATCATATGTACACATGACTCCATCTTTTCTTCAACCTCATTGTTCCTTCCTCATCAACATCGTTCTCTTCCTCACACTCTTTTTAATCCCAACACAAGTCAATAGTGATGCTAAAAGCTACAAATCATGTGCACCTTTTACCTGTGGAAACTTCACCAACATTACATATCCATTTTGGAATATCAACGATCAACCAAGTTATTGCGGCCATCCAAACTTCACGCTCGATTGTCAGAGAAACAACTTGACTATTGACATCAACTCACAAAAGTTTCATATCATTGATATGAATCAAACATCACAACTCTTGAAGATTGCAAGGTTGGATTTATGGAGTTATGATGCTGCTAATGTCACTTCTTGTCCAAATACTAATGTGAGCTTGAATTTGGATTTCTTCAAGTACACTTCCAATGACGAGAATTATAATTTATTGTCCGATTGCGACACTCTTCCTACTAATTCATATGGATCTCCTTTGAGTTCAGAAGTTTCTCAAGAGATTTATTGCCTCATAGATAGTAAACCTCAAGATGCATATTTAGTATTAAATACTAAAATGGCGGATTTCACGAACCTAGAGTGTAAGAACAATATCAAAGTTTATGGGCCAAAAAGCTCTATTATAGAAGATTCTGATACAAGAGTGGTGAATGTTTTAAAGGAAGGGTTTGAGGTTGGGTGGAGTGTTGTGGAGGAAGATATATGCAATTATTGCAAGAAATATGGTGGGAGATGTGGATACAATACAACCAAAAATGCATTTATGTGTATTTGTCCTAATCAACTGTCTTTTGGTGATTGCGGATTTTGTCGCCAGAATTCAACAACTGCTATTTGGCCGGATGAGTCGGGTTGCATAGGATCCAAGTTGTTTAAATCTGCGACACCATCACCCCTATCAGAACCATCTTATGGAGAAACACCAGTGCAAGCATTTGTACCAGCTTTTGATTCAGATTCGAAAAAGTCTCCTTACGCTTCGAGTATGTATTCTTCCTTCCCCTGATATGTTATTAGATTCTTCTTTTGAATAATTTAATTTTTAGAGTGTTTAGAGAACTTATTTAGAATTCATAAACTACTTTTATCTTATTTCAATAAGTTCATAGTTTAGAAGTTATTTACTAACAGTTTATTAACAAGTTTATCTTGTTGATTAGAAATATTTTAAAAACAATCACTTATATGAGCATTTTCAACCTGTCTTAGAACAACAATCAGGAATAAAAACTTAAAATAAACGAAAGTAGAATATAATTTAACCGTAAATACTTGATTGATTTGCATGTTTGATTGCTTATTGATTATTTATCTCATTTTACAATTTGAGTTTGATAAATATTTCATATCTCTAAGAAATACACACAAACTCTACGAGAAAATCATCTATAAAAGTCACAATATCTAAAACCACTCAAGAAAACCTCTTTGCCCCGCACATTTGAGTTAACATATTTTAAAATTTCCTCTATTTTATGTTTTTCTATCTTAAATTTCACATGACACTGCTTTTTAAATACACAATAATTGGATAAATCCATACCCTTTAATAATTTTTTTTTAGGGAAGTTCCATAATTCCACGTTCACTTAGATGACCTAGAAGCATATGCCAAATTTTTGTTACATCATTATCAAAGTCAACTTTGTAAAATTTATATTCAAAATTTTAATAAAAAAAGAAAGAGTCTAGAAATTTCCATGGTGACTTTTGAGTTGACTCTCTAGCCGACTGAGAGCATAACTAAGTCACACATTATGAATTTTAATATTTTCTCTAAACATAATCTCCTGCTCCTCCCATTCTTAGTTTCTTCTTTGTTCACAAAACAATGGATAAGAATATCCCTATGAACATAACCATTCAATACACCTCTTTCTTCTTTTACTTGTTATTCATAATAAGCACTTTTTCCCCACAAGTATCCTATTCTCAATCAGTTTATGATTATTCCATTTGCAAGGAACATTCCTACAACTGTGGTAATCTTTCCAGCATCTCGTATCCATTCTGGGGACATGATCGTCCTTTTCAATGTGGCGCAGGAGCCCCATTTTACCTTGACTGCGGCCACAAACAAGATACCACAATTCTAATATCATCACAGAATTTCACAGTACTTGAAATAAACACCACAACTTACACCATGAAACTCAAAAGAACAGACCTTTCTCTCAACCTCTGTTCTCCTCAATTTAATGATACTTTTTTGTCTCTACCTCTGTTTCAAATTCAACATCTCCCACAATTCAAAAACCTCAACATATACTACAATTGTACTTCTCCTCCAATTCCATCTGAAGATTCTCTATGTGGATCTCAGAATCTCGCTTTTGCTCAACTTGCCGATGATGACTCTAATCTTTTTGAAGAATCCATGAATTGTACGAGACGTATTCAAGTCCCAGTAGGAGCAGGTTTTCATATAGATGATTCTTATGGATATAGTTATTTTTTTAAGCCTGATGTTCTTGAAAAAGGTTTGGATGAAGGGTTTGAAGTGAGTTACAGTGTGAGTGGGGAATGTTTAACGTGTTTGGGAAATCAAGGAGGAGATTGCAGCTGGAAGGATGATAATGAAATTGAGAAACACGTTACCTCCTCTTGCTATTATGGGAATTGCCCAGATGGATCTATGAATTATTCCTCACAATGTTCTTCTATTCACAAAAGTATGTTTCCTTATCTCATAAATTAATTATTTATCAAAAAAAAAACTCATAAATAAATTATGTTTTCGCTGTCTCAAGCTGTCTCAAATGTTTTCTTCTCAATCACTGTCATGTAAGGTGAAGATTGCTCCCACTTTTTTATTCTAACTCATCCCTACAAAACTGACTTGTAAGATAAAAATTGCTCCCACTTATAAGAACATTTTTAAACTATATATTTTTCTATGTGAGATTCTTAACACACTCCTTCTCGTCCAAAACTAAACATATAAAAGTTAAAAATCAATGGTGGATGATTAATAGCGGAAATTTGATAGCTTGTAGCTCACCGGATCTTAAACTAGACTTTAATACCATGTTGATAGTATGCATGGAAGGAATAACTTTGCAAGAAAGATTTATTCATTATGAATCAAGCATCAACTATAAGTTGTGGCGATATGTCAATGCTTGTGTATCAATAGGTTGAAGACAACCAAAAATAGAAAGAAAAAAAAGGAATAACTTTCTAACTAATTCTTAAAAAACCAGGAAAATAGAAAATGGGCCTTATGGCCAAAAGCAAAAATGGCCATATTGTATTTAACACATTCCCTCAAGTTGGTTTATGTGTGGTGAAAAGTATCAACTTGGATATGATAAAAAGCATATATGGCGAGTCTTGGGGTTTCGTAAACATGTATGCCAACTAGTTTGGGCTTGAAACGGGAAGCAAGTGCAGGAGCTTAGACTGAATCTTCTCTCGAATTACATGACAGTTAAGTTCAATATACTTGATTCTCTCATGAAATGTGGAATTATGGGCTTGATAGATTGTTAATTTACTGTCATAGTAAACATATGTTGGTTTTGAAATTTGGATGTGAAGGTCTTTGAAGAGAAGTTGAAACCATTGTACCACACATATTAAAGTAGACAATGACATGTACTTTACTTCAGTTGACGACCTGGATAATCTATTTTCTTTATTTGATTTCCATCTAACCAAAGAAGAACCAAGAAGAACACAAAAACCTCTTATGGATTTTCTTGTGGGTTGGCGGATGCTAGCGCAGATGTATTAGTCTTGTGATAACTCTTCTTTTAGCTAATTAGGATAGTCAATTTTTTATGCTCATAAATTATAATGATTGTTAGTGTAGTATATAGTGTTATTTTCTCTGGATGTCATGTAAATTGTGGTACATTAAACCATATGTTATATCTGCTAGTGTGTACTTTCTCTGCCAAACCTCTGGTGAAAGTGTATAAATATGTTTATGTTTGTTACTCTAGTAGAATATTATCCTTGATTTAGAACAATGCTAACTGATCTTTTCTTTCACAACTAATTTTTACAGGCTCATGGAATTTGAAGAGGAAACTCGTTGTTGGTAATAAATTCAATTTTCCTTGTTATATTTATTAGATTCTACTATATTAAATTTATTTTTGGTTGAGAAATTAATTGATTTGTTGTTATTGTAGCTAGTAGTATATCCATGAGGGAATCCATGTTTATAATAGTAGTGTTTAATTTCATGTCAATATATATTAAAAAAAAATACATTGTCTTTGAGATCCATCTTGTTGGTGCAAGGTGATGAAATTGAGGAAGAAGAGATAAAATGATAAATGCTATAAAATTGTCACTAATGATTGAAAGAGGATTGTTGTATTAAATGAAACTTAGTACACCTATTTATACACAAAAATAGTAAAGATAAGAATGCCATATAGGCCCTAAAAGAGAATATCCAAAAATGAAAAATACTAAATTACCCTCTAATACTATCTCGTAATTTAGTAACTATCAGAAACTAACAACACCAATTTCATTTCTCAAATGAAGAAATTGGTCTGTTTTTATTGCATTCGTTAGAACATCTGTCAGCTGCTTCTGAGTGCTACAGTGCCGAACTTCTAACACTTCTTTCTGCACTTGACTTCTCAGAAAATGATACTTCGTCTTAATATGCTTGTTTCTTCTATGCAGCACTGGATTCTTGACAAGATTGATTACAGACTTGTTATCAATCAACAACTTCAGAGGTTTCTCTATCTCAATCTTCAAATCCTCCAGAAGATTCAGAAGCCAAACAGCTTGACATGCAACTACAGCACCTGCAATGTATTCAGTTTCACACGTTGACAGAGCCACAACAGGTTGTTTCTTGGAACTCCAAGAAATTGGACCTCCCAGAGACTTGAGCAAGTAACCAGAAGTACTCTTTCTGTCAACTTTGTCTCCACACCAGTCAGAATCAGAATAACTCACTAATTTTGGTTCTGCCTTTCTTTCAGAAGGAAATAACACTTCATATTTCAGAGTTCCTTTGATATACCTTAGAATCCTGACAGCAGCTTGGTAATGAGGCCACTTTGGTTTACTCGTGAATATGCTAACTATTCCAACTGCATAACAAATGTCAGGTCTGGTATTGCACAAGTACCTAAGAGAACCAACCAACTTCTTGAAGGTTGTAGTGTCCACAGAATTACCATCAGAATTAGAATCTAATTTATGATTGGTTTCTGATGGTGTCACAACAACTTTGCAATTCTGCAGCTTAAATCTCTTCAGAAGTTCAAGTTCATACTTCAGCTGATGTAGAATGATACCCTTCTTTGAGTACAAAATCTCCATTCCTAGAAAATATACCATATTTCCCAGATCTGTCATATCAAATTCACTCATCAGAACTTCTTTGAAATTGATTATCTCTTCTGGACAACTTCCTGTTAGCAATATGTCATCAACATATAGATACACCAGAATCATATTGCCACCAAAATGCTGCACATACATGCCATATTCCATCTCACATTTTTGAAACGTCTGCCTCTTGAAAAACAAATCAATTTTCAGATTCCAAGCTCTGGGCGCTTGTTTCAGTCCATACAAAGCTTTATGTAACTTGTATACCATCCCTTCCTGATTCTTTTTCATAAATCCAGGAGGTTGTGACACATATACCTCTTCTTGTAACGGACCATTCAGAAATGCAGACTTCGTATCCAGATATATCAAAGGCCGATTTCTGTTTTCACCTAAAGCAATCACCAATATGATTATTTCATGTCAAGCTACGGGCACAAACACCTCAAAGTAATCTAGCCCAGGTTTCTGAAGAAAACCTCTAGCCACTAGTCTCGCTTTGTGTTTGCCAATTGATCCATCTGGCTTAAGCTTCACCTTGAAAACCCATCTGACGCTGATGGCTTTCTTCTTTTCTGGAAGCTTTGTCAACTTTCAAGTTTTGTTTCTTTCAATAGACTTAATTTCTTCCTTCATGGCATTCAACCATACTTTCTTTTTGAGAGCTTCTTCAATACCCACTTGTTCAGAATCTACTAACGTGGCACACTGAACGATTTCTCCTTCAGAATCTACTTCAGTATCATGCAACATGCTAAAATCTGCAAACATACTTGGTATTTGTCTGATTCTCTGTGGCCTCTAAACTTGCTCTGAAGCTTATGCAGAACTCGGAACAATGCTAGCTTCTGGACCTTGTCCAGAACTACTTCCTTCAGAATTACCACCTTCAGAGTTACTTCTGGAAGCTTGTCCTCCAGACCCTATGTCTTTAGAGTTTTCCCTTCCAGAAATATAATCACCACCAGATTCTGGGTCATCATCAGAATCTGAATCATAATCAGATCCATTATCAGAATCTCCCTGAGATTCTAACTCATCTTCAGAGTCTTCAGATTCATCTTCTGACTCTGACTCGTCTTTAAAACTTTCTGAAGAATCTTTAGAAACTAACTCTGGTGTTGGCGCTACACCAAAATCTGATTGAAGCTTGTTCCAATCCCATGTTTCTGACTCTTTCACAATAACGTCTTTGCTAATTTCAACTTTGTTGGTTTCTGGACAATAAAGCTTATAGGCACCTGTACTCTGGTAGCCCACCAGTAACATTACTTTGCTTCTATTATCCAGTTTCCGTCTTCTAGATTCTGGAACGTGTTTGTAGCATACAAAACCAAACACCCTCAGATGGCTAACACTTTGCTTGTATCCAGTCCACTTTTCTAAAGAAACAATTTCCTTCAGCTTCTTTGTTGGACATCTATTCAGAACATATGTTGATGTGGCAACAACTTCTCTCCATAACATGTGAAGTAGCTTCTTCTCTTTCAGCATACTTTTGATCATATCAAGCAAAGTTCCATTTCTTCTTTCAGCAAGACCATTGTGTTGAGGAGTATATGGAGTAGTAACCTCGTGTTCTATTCCATTCTCCTCACAGAACTTCTGGAACTCTGTAGAGTTATACTCACCTCCACCATCCGTTCTCAAAATCTTCAGCTTCTGACCACTTTGCTTCTCAGCCTTCACCTTGAACTTCTGGAACTCAGTAAACACTTCATGTTTGAACTTAATGAGTGTTACCCATGTCATTCTTGTGAACTCATCCATAAAAAACATAAAATATGTATTTCCTCCAAGTGAAGATACTGGAAATGGTCCACACACATCAGAATATACTACTCTCAAAGCATGCTTTGCTCCGGGGGCTACTTCTGATGCAAATGGCAATATGGATTGCTTGCCTTTCATGCATATATCACATGACTTCTCCGGCTTCACAATCTTCGAAATTCCATGTACAAGCTTCTAAGAACTTAGATGCACTAAGCTTTTATAGTTCAAGTGCCCCAACTTCTTGTGTCACAGTTTACTGTCACCTTCAGCGCCTTCTGCACTAAGACACTCTACTTCAGTTGTTTCTACATTCACCTTGAATGTTCCGTTGCTTCCCTGCTCAGACTTCATAATCAACTTCTGATTAGAATCATACAAAGTCAAGAGGTTGTCCTTCATAACAACTGAGAACCCTTTCTCAATGAGATTACACGCACTCATCATATTGCTTTTGATTCCAGGAACATACCAAACATCTTTGATCATAATATTTTTTCCATTCTTCACTCTGACTCTGACATTTTCCATACCTTCTGCATTAAGATACTTATCATCAGCACATCTGATATTTGTTCTTCTTCTGGAGTCAAAGTATATTAGTCATTGTTTTTTCCGGTGAAGGGGTTTGAGTAGCCAGTGTCCATATACCACCAATCTTCTGAACACTTTCCATCATAATCAGAATCCATCAGTAGCACAGGTTCATCATCAGAGTCTCCTCTGGCTATATTTGCTTCTTCTGATTTCCTTCCTCTGTTTCTACAACCTCTGAAAAAATGGTCAAACTGTTTACAACAGTAACATCGAACCTTCTTCTTGTCAAACCTTTCCTTTCCCTTGTGATATTTCTTTTCATCAGAAGTTGAGGTTTCTGACTTTTGGAATTTATCACCACGTCTATTCTGCTTCTGGTCCTTCTTGATAAAAGAAGCCTTAAGAGCTTGCTCAACTTCCCTCTCAGAAGTTATTTCAGTTAGACACAACTCATGCGCTTCTAGACTACTTTACAACTCTTCTATTCTCATGGTTTCCAGATTTTTAGAATGTTCAATAGAAACAACAATGTAATCAAACTGGGGAGTAAGTGACCTCAAAATCTTCTCTATGATTACATGTTCAGAAAGTGTTTCTCCACAAGCTTTCATTTCATTAGTGATCAGAATCATTCTGGAGATGTACTCAGAAACTTTCTCACTGTTCTTCATGTTGAGATTCTCATATTGCTTTCGCGGGGACTGAAGCTTCACCTTCTTTACTGACGCGTCACCCCATAACATCTGACCAGTATATCCCATTCCTCTTTCGACGTCGTCGAATCAACAATTTTCTCAAACACACTGATGGATATAGAACAGAGCTTTCTGATCCCTCTTCCTTGTAGCTCTTTCTGCAAATCTTTGTTCTTCAATAGCATCTGTTGCAACTGAAACATAACCAACACTACAAAATAAGTTGTGTGTTGCCACATGACTCCCACGTCACTAACACCAAAATTATGTCACAACTTTGTTTTTGCCACGTGAAGAAACACGTCGCTGGAGAGCGCGTGACAATGTTGTTGCGACGTGGGAAACATGTCACAACGTTGCCACGTGAAATCCACGCCGCAATAAACTTTATGGGGTCAAAGGCAGTCAGAGTAGAGCAGAGGTCAGAGCAGGTTTTATATTCACTTTTACGTTGTGTGTTGCGGCGTGTTTTTCATGTCACTAATTTGTGATGTGGAAAATACGTCGCAACTTTTTTTTTAAAATTATTTTCTGTTTTAAATATAATAATTCTGATTTAATAATTAATATTATTTTCTGTTTCATTAAATTTATAAATTAAATATTATTATTTATTTATTAAATTCAATATTATAAATCAAATTATCAAAAATAAAACTAAATATATCAAAATATATAAATTAATATACTTAATATAATAAAGTTAATAAACTAAAATTTAAATTTAATATTTTTAAATATAAAATATGATTATAAATTTATATTAGTACACAAATAAAAAACTAAATAGAAAATAAAAATAAAATTAAGCAGAAGGATCATTCGAGTCGTCGGAAAAGTCGCGAAGAAAGTCATCATTATTTTGGTGGTTATTATTTTGGCCACCATTGTTGGGATTTCCATCAAATGCTTGCATAAATTGTCGCATTTGCTCCTCCATATCAGCCTGCCTCTTTGTCATTGCCTCCATTTCTCTATTATGTTCACCCCTCATTGCCTCCATTTGGGCCTTCAATGCCGCCTCCATTTGGGCCTTCAATGTCGCCTCACGTTCTTCGGACTCGCGTCTAGCCAATTTTCTTACCGTTTCTAACTGATCTGGTGTCAAATTTGTTTGACGTGACCCTCCTTCACCGTCCGCAGCTCTCTGATACAGAGTTTTATCCCCACTACTCAAGGTGCCCGCCAAATTTCCACTACCAAAAAAGCACCCGTTAGGCCCCTTTCCCCCAACAACTTGACTCCAAATATAGAAATCCACATCTGGATGAATCGGTTTTCCCGGAGGAGGAGTATACTGAGGATTATGGGTCAGAAATTCTGCGTGATAAAACCATTAACTCCGTCTATAAAATTGGATTTAAGTGCGCGTCTTCCTGGATATAGTATACCGTACATCAAACTATGATAATACCTATAATATTCCATGTACTGCAAATTTATATAATCAAAACCTTTTTAATTAGAAATATTAATTAATCAACTTAATAATAATCCTAAACATATTGTTCTTGTTCTTATTACTATTAAAAATATACTATGTATATATTCTATTAAACATAAATATATGCTTTTATTTTAACTATTTTTAATATATAATATTTTTTATTATATACTATTAAATATACTATTAATATAGTTTATTAAATATATAATAATTAATATAATATTTTTTATTGACATATAATATAGTTTTTATAAAACAATTTTTAATTATAAAACCGTTTTTATTAACATACATATAATATATAATAATTAAATACATAAACCAGTTTTTTATATATAATGTTTATAACATACTATATATAATGTTTTATTGACATATAATGTTTTTTAACATACTATATTAATGTTTTATTGACATATAATATAGTTTTTATATAATATTTTTTAATTATAAAATCGTTTTTTATTAACATATAATACAGTTTTTATATAATTTTTTTAATTCTAAAATAGCTTTTATTAACATTCTATATATATGATATATATAAATATTTTTTATTAACATATAATATAATTTATATATAATTTTTTTTAATTAGAAAACCATTTTTATTAACATTCTATATAAAATATAATATTATATTTGTTTTAAAAAAATATATTAACATCAAATATATACTATTTTTTATAATATTATACTGTTTTTTATTTTTTTATATATATGTTTTTAATCAATACATAAAATATTATATTATATTTGTTTTAAATAAAATATATGTTAACATTAAAACTGTTTTTATAAAATTATACTATTTTTTATATACGCATAATTATAAAAGAGTTTTAAAATAATAACATTAAATATATATATTTTTTAATTATAAAACAGATTTTATAATAATAACATTAAACAGTTTTTACTAAATATATACATATTAAAATAATTTTTTAAATATTTTTTTATTCAATACAAAAAACTAATTTTTTTATATATATGTTTTTAATCAATACATAAAATATTATATTATATTTGTTTTAAATAAAATATATGTTAACATTAAAACTGTTTTTATAAAATTTATATATTATTCTGTTTTTTTGTTTTTTGTTTTTTATAATAAATAAATTAAATAAATCAAGATATATAACTTATCATAATATATATTTTTGTTTATTAATAAACATTTATTTATATATATTTTCGTTTTTTAACAAGAAGTATCTATATAATATATATTCTCATTTTTTAAAATTATATTTAATGAAAATTACAATATTATAATTTAACCAAATTCAACCTAAAATCTAACTAAATTCAGAAAATATACCAAATATAAAAAAAAATTCAAGAAATACCTCTTCTCTTTTAACTCCTTCAATCTTCTTGTCCAACCTTTTTGCAATCTACTTCCCATATATCCATCTTCTTCTATTCAAAGAAAAATTAAAATAAATTACAATCACATAATACAATAAATAAAAACTTGTAAACAAAATAGAGACAAAATTAAATTTAATTTACCTGAAAAACAAGGATTAATGGAGATTGAAGTTAGATTTTATGAAAAAGAAGAGGTTTTATAATGGAGATTGAGTTGGATTTTATGAAGAAGAAGAGGGTAAAGGGAGATTGGGATGGAATGAGAGAGGGAGAGTTGTGTTTGTTGAAAATATACTACTGTCTTGTGCTTGGTCTAACGTGATTTAATTAAATATATAAACCATTCAGCGACGTGAAAATCACGCCGCAACTTTGCCACGTGACTTTCACGTCTCAACAATGCCAACGGTCATATTCTCTTTCTTCACATGCCTGCAAAAGCTGATCATGCTAGTCTGAATTAATTTGATTTTCCCTCTTAAATGTTGCGACATGAATACCACGTCACAATTGACTTTTTCAAAATTTCAAAAATTCCTTCATCTGAACGTTAGACCAATTAAAATATTTTATATTATATTTTTACTAGCGATGTGATTCCCACGTCGCAACATGTTTTTTATAAAAAACCCAGACAACCATCATGCTTCTTTATTTTATTAATAAAACATGTTGCCACGTGATTATCACATCGCAACTGGCTTTTTTTAGCCACATGATAATCACGTGGCAAAAACACGTGGCTGGAGATGATATTTCTTGTCGTGCAATGGTAACAAGATCCAGAACATCCTGAGCACCAAACAGCACACACATCTGTATCATCCATCTGTTCCAGCTTTTGCCATCAAAAGCTGAAAGTTTAGTGTTCAAACTATTGCCTCCACTCATCTTAAACCTTGCACAAATATCAGATTTTAGATTCTCACTCAGTGTTTCCCAAACCCACAGAGAATCAGTGTGATTCTGTTCTGATTTTTGTTCAAGATTCAACAAAAATCAGGAACCAAAATCAAACACAGAGTTCACTATCACTCGTGTTTCCCTGAATTTCAAAATAAACCAAGAGCCCTAGATACCAATTTGTTGGTACAAAGTGATGAAATTGAGGAAGAAGAGAGAAAATGATAAATACTATAAAGCTGTCACTAATGACTGAAAAAGGATTGTTGTATTAAATGAAACCTAGTACACCTATTTATACACAAAAATAATAAAAATAAGAATGTCACGTAGGCCCTAAAAGAGAATATCTAAAAATGACAAATATTAAATTACCAAAAAAAAGTTCATTGTGTTTGAGATCCATCTCTCTTCCTCAACAAGTCCCCTACCAATATATCTTTGATTATAGAGAGTTATTGAATTGTATTACTTTTATTAGAAGGGTTTAATATTTTGTCATTAACATCCCAAATAACATCATATGAAAAGACACAATACTACCATTTTTAACTTTTTGTTTTGTTTCTTTTATGAAACGCATATTAAGATGATTTTCTTTCTAACAACAGGTGTTGTTGGAAGTGCAGTAATGGTGGCATTGCTGACGTGCATCATAATTTGTTATATTAAAGGTAAGTCATCAACACAACAACTGAAATTCGGGTTTAAGAGAAAGAATGATAAAAACATCGAAGCATTCTTTAAAGAACATGGAGCTTTGACGCAAAAGGAATATACTTTTGCACAAATAAAGAAAATGACAAATTCATTCAAAATTAAACTTGGTCAAGGGGGTTTTGGTGTTGTGTATAAAGGAAATTTATTCAATGGTTGTCCTGTGGCGGTGAAGATATTGAATGCGTCAAAAAGAAATGGTGAAGAATTTATTAATGAGGTTGCAAGTATTACTAGAACCTCACATGTTAATGTTGTCACTCTTCTTGGATTTTGTTTTGAAGGACGTAAAAAAGCGCTTGTATATGAATTTATGTCTAACGGTTCTCTTGACATCAAATTGCGAAGGGAATAGCTCGTGGGCTAGAGTACTTGCATAGAGGATGCACCACTCGAATTTTACATTTTGACATAAAACCACATAACATTCTTTTGGATGAGAATTTTAATCCCAAGATTTCTGATTTTGGACTTGCAAAGCTCTGCCCTAGAAAAGAGAGCATTATTTCGATGTCGGATCAAAGAGGGACAATGGGATATGTAGCTCCAGAAGTGTGGAATAGACATTTCGGAGGAGTTTCCCATAAGTCAGATGTTTACGGTTATGGAATGATGTTGTTAGAAATGGTGGGTGGAAGGAAAAATATTAATGCTGATGCAAGTAACACAAGTGAGATATACTTTCCTCATTGGGTATATAGTAGGCTTGAGTTTGGAAGTGATTTGAGACCTGATGGAGTAATGGATACAGAAGAAGATGAGATTGCAAGGAGAATGACCATTGTGGGTTTGTGGTGTATTCAAACATTTCCTAATGATAGGCCTACAATGAGTAAAGTGGTTGAAATGTTAGAAGTTAGCATAAATTCATTGAATATACCACCAAAACCATTACTTTCATCTCCTACTAGATCAGTATCAGAGCCTTAAATATCTTAAAATTTGAGGGCATGCATAATTATTTTATACTTTTTTAATTATAATAGAGATCATCTCAACCCTTTTTTAATCATCATGTAAAATAAAGGGAATCCTAATGTTTCAAATTTTTTTATATTGAATGTAAAATTATGAACAATTTGTCACGTAAATGTTATAGTTTTATAATTTTTTTATAATTTAGAAGTTAGTGACAACGTATGCCGTAAAACAAGTTATACTAAAAATTGTTTTATCTTTTTGTGGAATTAGACGGCTAATATATGGTGATTAATATTAGTGCGTGAGACTCTTTTAACGATAAGAGAAAAAATGAATAATAAAGAAAATAAAGATTTGTATTATTCAATTGTACAAATAATAATATAGATTAAGACTATTTATATACCATTCTAATTGGGCTTGGGTCTACACAACTTAAATCAAATCAAATCAAATCAAATATAATGTTTTAACAAATCTAATTTAATATTTCAACACACCCTCATAATTTAAGTTGTCGAACATCCTCAAAAATAGTAAATCTAAACTATTCCTAATTTCTTTCTCAAATTCAGGAATTTGTCAATCGTCAATCCTTTGGTGAAAATGTCGGCCAACTGTGATTGACTCGAGCAATGTCTTACTTCAAGTTCACCTCGATTTACCTTTTCCCTCAAGAAGTGAAACATTGCTTCAATATGTTTACTTCTTCCATGCAGAACTGGATTCTTCGCCAGATTTATGGTTGCCTTATTTTCGATTTGCAATACAAGAGGTTTCTTCACTTCGACCTTCATTTCTTCAAGTATAGACCTGATCCAAATTGCTTGACATGCAACATAGGATCCTGCTATATATTCAGCTTCACAAGATGATAATGCCACCACAAGTTGTTTCTTCGAACACCATGAGATTAGGGCATCAAATATTTGAAAGAAATATCCAGTTGTGCTTCTTCGATCTTCCTTATCTCCACATCAATCAGCATCTGAAAAACAATTAACTATTGTTTCTTTATCTTCAAAATCTCGTTGAAATAGTATTCCACAGTTTATCGAACCCTTCAAATATCTCATGATTCTTCTTATAGCCTTCATATGTGACACTCTTGGTTCACTCATATATCTTCTTACTAATCCTACAGCGAAACATATACCAGGTCTATTGTTGCACACATACCTCAGAGATCCTACAATTTGCTTGAACAAACTTCCTCTCCATTCTTCTTCAATTTTACATTTGGTTCGACAGGTGAGGATGCAGGATTCGAATCACCCATTTTAATCTCTTGAGCATTTCTTTCACATACTTCCTTTGATGTAGCACCATACCTTGCTTCGACATTTGAAATTCTATACCTAAGAAATAAGACAATTTTCTCATATCAGACATTTCAAATTCCTTCATCATCAACTCTTTGAACTTCGACAAGTTCTCCAAGCTATTTCTAATTACTAGAAAGTCATCGATATATAAGTAGATGATTGTTGTATCTTGTGCTACAACCTGAACATAGACACCATACTCATATTTTCATTTTACAAATCCTAATTCGACTAAGTATGAGTCGATCTTGTTACATGTCATTGGTGCCTGCTTGAGGCTATATAGTGCTTTGTGCAACTTATATACTTTACTCGCTTCCTTCTGAATCACAAACCTTGGAAGTTGTGTGACATAGACCTCTTCGTCTAAAGGACCATTCAGAAATGTTGATTTCACATTTAAATGAAATGTCGATCAGCCTTGGTGACATGCTAATGCTATCACTATTTGAACAGTCTCTGATCTTGCTACTGGAGCAAATACTCCAGAGTAGTCGATTCCTTCTCTTTGAAGAAACCCTCGAGCTACTAATCTTGCTTTATGTCTTGCTATCGATCCCTCAGCATTACGTTTCAACTTGAATACCCACTTTACTTCGATAGCTTTTGTATGTGCTGGCAATTCGACTAACTCCCATGTGTTGTTTCTTTTAATTGCCTGAAACTCTTTAACCATAGCTAACTTCCACTGTTTAGTCTTCAAAGCTTCGCTATAGTTAATTGGTTCAGCACCTGCAAGTAAATCTAAATGAACTAATTCTCCATATGGTGTGACTTCATCATCACCCACCACTTCATAATCATGAAGTCTTGTTGGAAGAAGTCTATTTCTTTGAGGTCTTTGGCTTGTTTCAGCCACAACCTCTTCGAGTTCGAATGTGCCAGGTATGTCAGCAATTGCTTCTTCTTCGACTTCGACTGAATTCTCAACAATTCCTTTGACCTCTACTTCAGTAGTTTCTTTATCGAAATCAGAACTCATCAATGGCTTGTTAATTGAATTGCTAGAATTCCAATCCCATGTAGAATTTTCATTAATCACAATATCTCGACTCAACACAATCTTCTCATTAACTGGGTTGAATAGTCTGTATGCACCTGTTTTATGATATCCTACCAGAACCATAGGTTCACTCTTGTCATCAAGCTTCCTTCAAATGACTCACTGATGGTCGTTTCCACTCCATACTTCTTTAGGAACTTTGTTCTTCAATATCTTGGTAGGACACCTATTCAAAATATAAATTGCAGCCAAAACAGCTTCTCCCCATAAAGACTTTGGCAAATTCTTTTGCTTCATCATGTATCTCGTTGTATCTAATATGGTTTTGTTTTTTCTTTCAACAATTCCATTATGTTGAGGTGTATAAGGAGCAATTACCTCATAATCAACACCATGTTCTGCACATAAATATTCAAACATCTTGGATGTGTATTCACCACCTTCATCTGTTCGCAGAACTTTGATCTTCTTCTCACCTGTTCGCAGAACTTTGATCTTCTTCTCACTCTAGTTTTCGACAAGTATCTTAAATCTCTTAAAGATTTCAAATACTTCGTCCTAAACTCATCGATAAGCGAAACAAAATATATGTTTCCACCAATTGTATGTTCTTCGAATGGATCACATACATCTGAATGTACCACTTCGAGTATACAAGTTAATCTCATTAGCATAGTCGAAACGAAAGAATTTCTGGATTGCTTTCCTACTAAACAACCTTCACAATGTTTTTCAAGCATCTCAAGACTTGCAATTCCAGTAACTATATCTTGAGTAATTAGTTGATTGAGTGATCGAAAATTCAAATGTATAAACCTCAAATGTCACAACCAACTATCCTTGTGGTCAAAAACAGTTTTTAAACATTGAACTTCAGTCGAACTGATCATAGTCTTTATGTCGCGTTCTTCGACAACGGAGATTTTAAGACCAAATTGTTCTTGGTGTTGAACAATTTCAAAACTCTATCTTTAATGACAACCGAGAAACCTTTTTCGACTAGTTGTCCAACACTTAGAAAGTTTCACTTTATTCGATGTACATAAAGCACATATTTGATCATAGCTTTCCCTTTATTACTCATTTGAAAGACTAAACCAGATATTGGATTTTACATGGTTATCTGCAACTGCAGCCATAACCACCATACCACCTTCAGAATCATCGGAATCTTGGCATGCAAGGTTCGCTCCTTCGTCCTTGCCTGTCGATCCCTTGTCTTTTCTGTACCAACAATTTTTGGCTACGTGACCTCACTTTTCACAGTTATAGAACTACACACCTTTTTTATCTTCTTTTCCCTTTCGATAGTTTCCTCCTCCTCCTTTCGAGGATTCAGAAGCTCCATCTTCGACTTGATTCTTGTGAGGTTTCTACCAAGACTTCTTGCCCTGAGTCTTGCCAAACTTGCCTTTGAATTTGTTGGAACCACCATCCTTTTCCATGACTGAGCTTGTAGAGCCTGTATCGAGTCTTGCACTCCTTTCCTTTTGATAATCCTCATCTCATGCACCTCCAACGAACCAACCAAATCTTCCACTTTAGTGATTTAAATATTGTTGGATTCTTAAATAGCTATGATAACGTGATCAAAGTGAGAGGTCAACGTTCTCATTACCTTCTCAACTATCATCTTATCAGTTATGATTTCACCACAACCCTTCATGAAATGGATGAGTTTCTAAACCTTCGACACATATTCTACAACTTTTCATCTTCTCCAATCGACAACAACTCATATTATCGATGCAAGGTTTGTAATTTGACAACCTTGACTTTCTCACCTCCTTCGTAATACTTCACCAGAATATCCCATGCCTCCTTCTTCATTTCAGCATGAGAGATTCTTCTGAAATTAGCAGCATCGACCACCGTCTAAATGCAATAAGTACCCTTGAAATCTTTCTTCTTGACTTTGTTGTGGGTTTTTTTCTGTTCGTCGGTTGCATTTGCAGCCAATATAGGAACGCCGTCGGTAACCACTTCTAGGGTTTCATGGAAGTCAGGCAAGGATTAGATCTGTTTTTTCCATCGGATCCAATTTTTTCCGTCAAGCATTGGAAGAGAATTCAGAATATCTTTATCACTAGCCATTTTTGCAGCGGTTGATTCACTTGCCCTAGAAACACGATCTCTGACGTGAAATTCTTGAAAACTTGATCAAGAAGGATAATCGGAAGCCCTGGATACCAATTTGTTAGTGCTTGAGGCACTTTTAGTGAGGAGAGAAAGAGAGAATAATAAAGGAAATAAGAATTTGTATTATTGAATTGTACAAGTAATGACACAGGCTATGACTATTTATATACAACCCTAATTGGGCTTAGATCTACACTACTTGAATTATATTTAAATATTAAATATAATCAAATCAAATAAATTTAAATATTTTAACAAATCTAATTTAATATTTCAAAAATTAAGACATATCCATAACATTTATTATACAAATTAAATATATTAAATTTCTCTATAGTAAGTTTATATAAAAAAAATAAGGTATATATATATATATATATATATATATATATATATATATATATATATATATATATATATATATATATATATATATATATATATATATATATATATATATATATATATATATATATATATATATATATATATATATATATATATATATATATATATATATATATATATATATATATATATAT